GGGGCGGGGCCGGGCGGGGCCGCAGGTGCGCGGGCCGCCGCAGGTGCGCGCCTCGGTCCCCGGGGGCGGACTTGGCGAGGGGCTGGGGTCGGAGCCAAGGCCGCGAGGGGGGCACAGGAGAAGGGGACGTTTGTGCCGAAGTACTGGGAGCCCCGGCTGCCCGGCGGGTCGTGGCATCCCCGGGCCCCGGCCTGAGACTGTCTTCATACTCGAGTGCACGTTACCTCGACTTATCATCGATGACCTCTTGCCTCATGTGACACTCGAGATCTTGAAAAGAATGTAGTTCTTTTGGTCCTGAGGAAAAGGAAGAGGCCAAGAAACAGATCAGAGAGAGACACAGAATCGTAGAAACGATTGGCTTTTCCAGGATTCTCAGTTCCCAGGAACCGTGTGATCCTGGTGTGCACCTTCCAGGTTTACTGAGGCGGGAGACAAGGAGTGAGGTGTGAGGTGTGATCCCCACCACAGATGCGTCCAGCGTGTGGCGTCGCATCCAGCGCCTCGTCCTTGGGGAGCTGTTTTCCACCAGCTCCCTGCTGTCCCCTCATGTGGAGTTCCTGAGAGACCTGCTTTTCCACTCACCCTTCCGAGATGGTCCTTTCCATTTTATACCCCGCATATTCCTGATTAAATAGTCCACCGTTGTGCACTTTCTAAGGGGTGGTCTTCAAAATAGAATATAACTCCGGAATAATCTACAGCAATGACCTTTTCCCCCTCCCCCGTTGTAACATACTACTAACTTAAAGATCGCACAGGTCATAGAACATTACACTCGAAAGAAATCTTAGAAACTTCGTTATCTAATTTTCCACCCAGTGTTCCTGAGTTCCACCTAAAGTAGCGTTGAGTCTTTACTTAAATGTTCTAAACTTTGCTTAGCCACAGTCTTTTCCACTTCTGAGGAGTGGTGAAGGTTAAAAACATCTTCGTTTTCAACTTTAATCTCACTGGTCCCAGTTTTGCCTTCTGGCATTACCTAAAGTCACTGTGTTCTTATACCAAAGACAGTTCTGATATCTGCACTGGCCCACAACACCTCCCCACCCTCCCTCCTGACTTCTTCCAGTCCTGGAGCTGGAACCATAGAGAGCTAGGGAGTTAGCTTCTAAGTCACTTCAACATTCTGGTCATCTACTTTTTCATACACCCCATAAGCCTGTATCCTTTAAAAAGCATGATATGGAGAGGAGGGGGCCAGCTCTTCCTGTGTGGTCTGACCAGCAAGGGCAGCAGCAGCACCCTTGTTCCAGATGCCAGGCTTCTGTTAACACTTGTAGGCTGTATTCACTTTTCAGTGGTCTGGTGCCAAGGCCCAGCCTGCACCCTTCCCTCCAGAAACTGATCCTAACTTTTAGAAAGTGGGGGATCTAGGAGCAAGTCTGTCTGCAGTGCTAGAATGGTTATCTTGCCCTGCAGAGACTGTGCTTTCCATAACACCAAGCCTCTACTTCTTCCCTAACATATTGATTAAACATGTGACTGTTGTGCACTTTCTAAGGGGTGGTCTTCAAAAATAGCTCAGAGAAGACGGGATGTGCATTCTTTCCCCTCCCTCAGGGGTGACTTGGATTTTCAAATGTCTTAGTTTTTCCCAGCTTCTAAAAAGGAAGGACTTGAGGATAGGAAGCTCTGACCCTGATACTGGAAAATAGGACAAAAAGTAAGATGACAAACCTCTGAAACCTACTAGGTGCTATTTCTACAGCAGTGGTTCTTAGGCCAGCAAGCCTGTCCTGTTTGTACTAGTTTAATGTCAGATATTGTGTAATGGTATCCTCAGATGGTGGATTCTCAGTAATGTTTGAAAAGTGGAAGTTAATGCTTATACTTAGCTCACTAAAGTTAAAAAACTAGGACTTTGTCCCCTGATTTATCGTGGACTTTACCCAGTGTTGAGGTTCTATCCACTTCCAATTACCAGCACTTTGCAACCTTCATTCATGTTTGTGTCTCATAGAACCTTGAATATTTTAACTGTCACTCAGTCGCTCAGCCTAACATAAACAGGACCTTGTGTACCACCCTGGGCTCCCACCAGCCCAGCAACCAATTAAACCCTGAAAATCTCCCCTTCTGTATTGGTGAGCACGGTGCCTTTACATACTAAAGTTGGATAGCTAATAGTTTTTTTAAAGTCTAATTTCATAGTTATCTCTATTTAATGTTACCCACTTCATTCCAACTTGTCTAGTTTTGATTCTGTCATCTTGTGCATTATTTATCACTTCTAGTCTGTGCCCTCTGAAATTTGATAAGCGTGCCTTCTGTCTCCTCTAAGCAATTGTCAGGAAGTGTTAGGATGTGTATGTTGGTAAAAAGAATAATAAAAACACCAAATCCAGTAACTTATAGTTTACTTACAATCATGCTTCAGCAGTGAAGGACTGTTCTTAGGAAAATGGATTTATTGAACTTAATACATCTATGTTTGTTTTTCCCATGAATATTTATTGAAATTTCCCAAGATGCACACCATGGCATGTACTTCAGAGTCATATAAAAAGATGATCTTTGACCTTGAACAACTCAGAATCTCACTAGAAAAACAAGACATACAGAATTAGAGCCAAAATACGTACCCAAGAAAGGTACAGAAAACAAAGTGCTGCAGAAAGCTGAGAGAGTGAGTTACCATTGTGGCCGATGAAAGCTGTTTGAAGGTGACTGGACTTGGCTTGGACCTTAAATAATTTCTGAGATGTTAGTAATTGAAGGAGAAAAGAAAATTCTAGGGCAAAATATGTGCAAAAGCTGGAGGCATGCCCAAGGGACAGTCAGTAGATCAGCTCAGGTCTCATAACTCTCATAGTTACTATAACAACTACAAAAACCACAGTGCAGAAAGCCAAAAGAAGCTTCTCTCTTGTTTGTTCAGGGTTTGGTACAGATGTTCCTGATTGATTCTCAGTTCTTCTCCAAGCAACAAGCTGCTTCTATTTTGTGGCTCTAACTCTTCAACATCTAGCTCACCATGTTCACCTCCCTTGTGCTGAAGGAAAGAGAAGGAACTTATAGCACCAGGTGTGGAGGCTTTATGAGTCTTGGAAACAATGCATTTTACTTCTGATCACATCCCTCTGGCTAATATTCCTTCTCACAACTACAACAATCATGACACAAACCTGGAAAATATGTTCTGTCGTAGGCCCAGCAAAAAGAGATAGCCACAGATTGAGAAAACAGCTGGCTACTTCCTGCCCCAAGGCACAGTGGGAAAAAGGGAAACAAAGGTAATAAATTGGGCTAAGCTTTCGTCATACAAACAAGAGAGACGTGCATGGCGTGGAAGTTACGAGCATAAGCTGTGGAACCAGACTGCGTGTGTGAAAATTTGGCTCTGCCCTTCCTTATTGATGAGTCGTTGTTACTTAAGTGTATTTTGCCTGAGTTGGATCCCCAGCTGTAAAATGAGAAATAATGAAGCAATATTGGAAAGGGCTCAGCATAAAAGAGTTACGAGTAGTACCTGGCACCTAACGGTGTTCAATAAGTGTTATTCATTAACAGGTTTTGAACAGAAGACTTTTACCACTATTAATTACCAAATGCCAAAGCACATATCTATGATCAGTGAATTACAAGTGGTTGCACAGGTGTCCTAAGGCTTCCCAACTAGTGTCTTTCTTAAGCTGATGGTCTCAACCTTGCCCACCAGTGCAATCATAGATCCTAAACATACTGATTGGATTCATGCTAAGTGCCAGGCACTCTTCTATGCCCTGGCGATGTCATTGTAGGAATATAGGGCTTATTGTCAAATTGTTCTTTTTGGTATTCCAGATAATTCAAGGCCCTTATAGCCAATCATGTATAAATTTCTTCTGTGTGACAGAGAGGTGTTTCAGTTTTTCTTTTCTATTGATGATATTGTGGATACCTTCATTTGAAGTCAGTTAGGATGGCCAAGTATCTCAGGATTAAAACAGACATTCCTGCCTTACATAATTCTTAGCAGATACAAGATTTACTTTCATGGGAATGGGTATTTGAAGAAAGGGGTGGGAATCCTAAAAGAGAAGCATTCTTGTCCTTTACAAGTAGTAGAAGTATCAATCCAGTAAGTGTCATAAATCTACACTCTCACACTAAAGCCTGCAGTTTTCTATATAAAAATCATTACAGAAAGGCTTACTATGAAAGAAACTCTTGGCTAGAGATCTCCTTTTATATCTGAAGGAGTGAGTAACATTTGATCGATGGCAGGCAGGGAGATGGTAAATCAAGAGATGGCTCCAGAGTAACCAAGACTCAGTTTCCTGAAGTCAAAACACATCACCTTCAATTTCAGTTTCTTCAATTTTCATCTGGAATTTCATGTATTAAGAAAAGATTTGCTAAGCGTCTATAGATACACACTATAGTGTGTATTATGGAAAAATATGGTACATAAAAATAATGAATAAAACCTCAGGTTTGGAGGCAGATAAATCTGAATTTGATCTGGGGCCTGCTACATTAACTACACAACCTTGGTGTACTCACTACCATGTTCGGCCATTTCCATCCTGCTGTAGCCCTAGAGGATTGACCTTTATGGGCTGCATCCCTAGAATCCTTTTTTATTGTTTGCCAATGGGATGCACTTTAAAAGGAGGTTGCAGGTTAGAGGACAAAGAGGTTGATGTGTTTGTTTCTCTGGCTCTTATTTTTTGCTTTCTCGTGGTGTTAGCAATACCGTATCCTTCCACAATCTTGGTCCTGCTGATGGCTCCTCTTTGCGGTTCTGCCTCTCATCTGGG